TTATTGTATGTTTAGATACTGTAGCTAGGACAATAATCTGTTTATTGGAAGTTTAGATACTGTAGCTAGGACAATAATCTGTTTATTGTGCGTTTAGATACTGTAGCTAGACAATAATCTGTTTATTGTATGTTTAGATACTGTAGCTAAGACAATAATCTGTTTATTGTATGTTTAGATACTGTAGCTATGACAATAATCTGTTTATTGTATGTTTAGATACTGTAGCTAGGACAATAATCTGTTTATTGTATGTTTAGATACTGTAGCTAGGACAATAATCTGTTTATTGTATGGTTAGATACTGTAGCTAGGACAAGAATACAATAAGATTGATGAGTTTTTTTCGACAAATATATCAACCCTGTCTGTATAATTACTGTAAAAAAGTAAAAACAGAAGAAAAACATATAAATCCAATATTTTAGGGATGGTATAAAATGACAAGTTCCGAAATAAGCATTTTACTTTTTTATTATCACATACATGCGTATTTTTTGTAAGACAAAGAAAACTACGCGAACAGGTAAAAAAGTAATATAAAAAGGCCTTTATTTTAGGAATTGTATAAAATGAGGCTTTGCTTAACTGTTATTGATACTGTTTTCCAAAATACATTTTTGTCTTTTTTTACCTAGATTCTCAATAGATAGAGTTATTAGGACATGGCAAGTTTCTAAGCTTTAAATGTTTTCATGGGTTTTCCTTGTATTCTTAAATGTTTGTAAATTTACAGGAAGTGTAACATTTTTTTTTATATATCAATCCTCTATTTTGACGAGTCCGATACAAAACTATTACCTGAAAATTATCTTTTCAGCAACATAAAAAAATATCTAATCGATAAATGAAAATAAAAGACAAAATATTAATCAACTAAGAATTAATTAATTATCAGGTATGTCTGTCTGTAAATTTCGATTTCAAAGTTGATCAGTTTTAATAACAATATCTCTTTAGTTTCTTTTCTTCAAAAGTATGGTTCTCATAGCGACAAATATTACTAAAGTCTCATTTTTGCTAATCTTTGTCATATGTTTCCACTGAAAATAAAAATATGTTTCGTTTTGGCTCATTCTTTTAGTGTGTTTTTATGTTATTTTATATAGGCTGTTCAATTAAATCCACTTCATTGCCTTTCGGTAAAAAATTTACTGTCTTGTTTGTGTAAAATTTGTTCTGTGACATCTTAACTAAATATTTAATACTATTTTAACCCTTTTTAACGACCTTTTGTAGTTTTTTTCTAAGACAATGTTATCCTTAACGAATTCTTCACTCCCTTCGAGTACACAGTCCTACTAACAATCATTGCCAACTGTATAGTTTTGGCGCTGGAGGAGCACCTCCCGAAAGGAGATAGAACGCCTTTAGCTCAAAAATTAGTAAGTCATTTTCAAATTAATTACAATTACGTAGTGTTTAAATTAAGATATTATGCGTATGAAGTTTATTATTCTATTTTTTAAACTCCTATGGTAATCTAAAATTATTCATAGCACGCACCTAAATCAATTTTCAAATGAAAGTTGAGTTCTAACAATAAAACTGAATAGAAGGTAAAAACGAATAGAAAAACTCAGTATTGTAAAGTCTAACAATTGAGTTCTAACAATAAAACTGAATAGAAGGTAAAAACGAATAGAAAAACTCAGTATTGTAAAGTCTAACAATTGAGTTCTAACAATAAAACTGAATAGAAGGTAAAAACGAATAGAAAAACTCAGTATTGTAAAGTCTTATTTTTTCAGTAGAGATTTTTTTTGCATACGAGTTAATGTTTTTTCTCTTTTTTTCCAGTTTCATTATTTTTGTTATTGTTAATCTTCAGTTCTAACGTTTAAATTACAGAGACGTTTTTCTAAGATAATTGTAGAAATGAAATTAGTTCGTGGAATTTATTGTAAGTCCTTCGATTTTTCCAGCTTCGAAATATTTTGTCAGATTGTAAACTAAGATATATGTGTTTGGCATAACTATTGGCTAGTTTCTCTAAAAAAACTAGATTTAAAATTTACTAGCAAACCTGGACTTATTAAATCATCAGTTGAGCTATACTGCAAAAGCTGTGTTTATTAGATGTTCTCTAAAAATTAATCGTATACGTAAGTTTGTCAGTAAAACCATAACGTACTCAAAGAAGGGTTAATATTGTATATTTTATTATATTTCGTCTTCGTTTCGATTAATATAAAGGATTATTACAAACATAATAATAATAAATGTAATAATAATTAATAATGATAATAAAAAACTGTTTCCTCGATTTTGTTTTTATGTATTTTAGAAATATGTATTGTCATGTACAGTTTCCGTTAGGAAAACTTTTAACGTGAAAACAAAACGAAATATTTATATACAGTGACCGTAAACGTACAAAAGAAAGCGAATGCAACATACAAGTATGTATCCATAGACGTTACTAGTTACTTACATGTATTTAATCTAAATTGTATGATATATGTGTGTGTCCATAGAGGTTACCTGTTACTTACATGTATCTAATCCAAATTGTATGATATATGTTTGTGTCCATAGACGTTACTAGTTACCTAAATGTATTTAATCCAAATTATATGATATGTGTATGTATCCATAGACGTTACTAGTTACCTACATGTACTTAATCCAAATTGTATGATATATGTATGTGTCCATAGAGGTTACCTGTTACTTACATGTATCTAATCCAAATTGTATGATATATGTTTGTGTCCATAGACGTTACCTGTTACCTAAATGTATTTAATCCAAATTGTATGATATATGTATGTGTCCATAGACGTTGCTAGTTACCTACATGTACTTAATCCAAATTGTATGATATGTGTATATGTTCATAGACGTTACTAGTTACCTATATGTATTTAATCCAAATTGTATGATATATGTATGTGACTACATACATTACTAGTTACTTCCGTGTATTTAATCCAAATTGTATGATATATGTATGTGTTCATAGACGTTGCTAGTTACCTACATGTATTTAATCCAAATTGTATGATATATGTATGTGTCCATAGACGTTACTAGTTACCTACATGTACTTAATCCAAATCGTATGATATATGTATGTGTCTACATACATGACTAGTTACTTCCGTGTATTTAATCCAAATCGTATGATATATGTATGTGTCTACATACATTACTAGTTACCTTATCTTGGTATATTTCTGTATTTCACGGTTTACATTGTTTATTATTCCATAAAATTGAATTTCTTAACCAATCATACGATACTTCCTTGAAGAGCAGTTCTAATTCATGCTTAAAAAAACATAATATTTAACTCAGCAAGTGAAATACTCTTCATAAGTTATGGTTTTCACTTGTTATATCTTGTTTTGTTAATCAAATATGAGAAATAAAAATTGTGTGAGTTTCGATGTCCAACATCAAAACATTTTATTGAACTAAATTGTATTTAAAATAGATATATCGTATAAAAAAGTCCAGAGATACGGATTTTTTTAGTTGATTACTAATTTTTTTTTATTTTTTATAACGACTTTTCGACCACTCGTGTGTATACAGCGATTTCCTCTTTTTACAACAAAGGTATATCGTAGACTAAAAAGTTAGTAAGATATAAACAAAGATATAAATGTCTAAAAACGGGAATTGTTTCTAAACAAAAATAAACCAACATGTTTATAATGTAGAATATATGAATTGTAGCAGTCTTTACGTAAGGGAGAATATAAACGTGGACGTGTTCTATCATGCGTTTATCATCATTTTAAAGCTACAAGATCGCAGTGAAAACAGCAATGTTTGCTGTAAACCTAATCCTACCAAATGTTAAATAAAAAAAAACTACTGTAATAGAACAGCCTTCAATGAACAAAATAACAGACATAGATTTATCCGTTTAGGTCAAGTTTCTATTTATGACGTTACTGGTAGGTGTATGTATGTAAGCGTATTGAACTGTTGTTTAATGTACCAGATGGAGTTACGTTAACAGTGACGAAAGTTTTTTTTTTGTGGTGTTTCTTTTCTGTTTTTTAATCTAGTTTTTAGTTGTTTTATTCTTCTTTTTTTGTTTGGATTTTGTGAAACTGTGTAATACAGAGTAGGATATGTTTATTCTTTTCTGTTGTTGTTGTTTAGATGTTGTGAAACTGTAATCCAGGGTAGGATATGTTTATTCTTTTCTGTTATTGTTGTTCAGATTTTGTGAAACTGTGTAATGCAGGGTAGGATATGTATATTCTTTTTTGTTTAGATTTTGTGAAACTGTGTAATCCAGGGTAGGGTATGTTTATTCTTTTCTGTTGTTGTTGTTGTTTAGATTTTGTGAAACTGTGTAATCCAGAGTAGGATATGTATATTCTTCTTTTTTGTTTAGATTTTGTGAAACTCTATAATCCGGGGTAGGATATGTTTATTATTCTTTGTTGTTGTTGTTTAGATTTTTTGAAACTGTGTAATTCAGGGTAGGATATGTATTATTTTTTTGTTTTGTTTAGATGTTGTGAAACTCTATAATCCGGGGTAGGATATGCTAGGTCAAACATCTTATTGTTTTTAACATTAAGGAAAAGTCAGCATATATATATATATTTTACACTAATACAGAGGGATGGGCGTGACGTAGTTGTTAGCGTGCCGGACGGTGAATCCGACGGCCTGTGAGTGCGTTATAAGAGTGACGGTGAAATCCCACTATTCGATTAGAGTAGCCCAAAGCTGGCAGTGGGAACCGTTGGCTAATTTTTTTTATCTCTAGTCTATCGGTTCAAAATTAGGGACGGCTGGCGAAGATATTCATTGTATAGAGTGGAGGTAAAGCAATGTACTTTTGTGTACATTAGTGGGAATACAACGTTTATTAGGTTTTAGTCCTATTCGTAAAATTAACGTATAAAAAATTAATACTGAAATGCTAAACAAATATTCTGAACAGAAATCTGTTAAATTGAATAAAGATATCAAGGACCAATCAGAAGTCCTCTCACCTAGTAGTTTAGTCTTTAAGCACGCTAACTTTCTAATTTCAAAACTTGCTAATCTTGAAAGTACATGTTTAGCGATTATTAGTTTTCGCGTATACGGATTTAATAGCTCGATTATGGAATAATAATGTACATTTATAACATATAACGAGAATTAAATATAGTGGTGTAAAAAATCTTCATATTCTGCGATTTTTGCTACAGCACATTCTGAGCACAACGTTACGTTTTTTTTACCTCGTTTGTTATTCTTGTTGTTTTAAACAGGAGAAAACAGAACCCTATTTCCTTGGTATTTTCTGCGTAGAAGCCTTATTGAAAATTCTAGCTTTAGGGTTTATAATCCATAAAGGATCATATCTTCGTAACATTTGGAATATCATGGACTTTATAGTAGTCGTCACCGGGTAAGTATTGCAGATTTGATGATCATCTTTTTACTTAACAACCTTTATATCTTGAAGTTGAAAAGTGAAAAATATAGGAATTTATGATAAACAATGTGATCAACTACTTGTCATCCAAATAGTGTTTTCTGTATATTTCTGTTTCATATTGTTGTTTGGTAGAAACATACTGAATTATTACGTTAACATTAGTATGAAATCGGTCAAAGTACTAAGATGTATTATATTTTAAGTAACATATAACTGGATAAAAGAAACAATAATGGGTGGTGAAATATATCGACTTTATCAAAAACACCAGATAACTTCCAAAAAGATACTATAGTTTACAGGGCAGTGAACTTTCCAGCTCCTAATACATTAAATAACTTCTAAAACATACTATAGTTTACAGGCAGTGAACTTTCCAGCTCCTAATACATTAAATAACTTCTAAAACATACTATAGTTTACAGGCAGTGAACTTTCCAGC